ACCTCGGTGTGTCTGGCCGCACCGGGACGTCCCGGGCCGGCCGGGCCCGCAGACACGGGCGGCGGCAGCTCCAGGCCCGGGCGGGGCGGGAGGCGGAGGCCGCGGGGCCGGAGCGCGGCCCGGGAGCCTGAAGGGGGAAACCGACACTAAAAGCTCTGGGAGATCGCAGGGAGTGAGAGGGTGTCAGTTTTCGCAAAAAGAGGACTTTTATTTCTCTCCCATCTCCTGTTTTTTGAGGGTCATACACTTTTTTTCTCATCCACATGAGCATCATTCTCACAACGCTTAAAAGGTCCAGAACACTGCTCAAAAAAAAGCGTGTTTTTAATTTGAAAAAGTCCATCTAAAAGGTGAATAATGAGAATTTACAATCGTTGCAAAACAGCTTCTGCAGATAAAAATTAGACGAGTTTTCTTCATAGACTTGTTCTTTCACCATTAGAGCTGTCACACAGATGGGTAATATTCTTTGGAAAGTACTAAAATGATTGGGAGTGGTCAAAAGAAAGCATGTAATAGGCAAGAGGAGCCATGTACATTGGACGTTGTCGAGTGGAATTGAGGAAACAGGTGTTGCCTGGATTTATCAGTCCAACTCCAGTGCTTTGTGTGTAATCCCAATCCATACAAGTTTTCTCACATGGAAAAACATTTGTGTTGGATCAATTCCATCATGAACAACTGCAAGAAAATTATGTTTTAAAAGAGATACATCGGTTTTGTTTTTAAAAGGATATTTTGAAAGCAGCATTTTGCATGAGTGCCCAGAAGAACCTGCTCCACTGCAAAGCACAGAACCATGTGAGGCACATGGTAACGCTGCCACTTGGGTTGGCCGGTCCACACACTGTTCTGGGCAATGGTTTATTCAAAATACACGCTTACATAGATCTTTTTGGGCAAAATGTTTTTGATCTCCTTATGGTGCTCAGCCCAAATTTGCAGCGTGAGATGGCATTTTTTTTTTATCATAGTGTCTCTTAATTGTGACAGAGGGAAAAGTTCAGGTTGATATAAGAATGTCAAGAACCATTCCAGAGACAAAAGGAGAAATCCTGTCACTAAGTCACGAAAAATTAACTCAAAGAACTAAAGAGCAAATGAGGAAACAGCCCAAACACACACAAACAATCCAACCACCAAGCTGTCATTGCAAAATTAATTCTCCCTTCACCCTGAACTGGGAGGCCACATGTCTATGCTCGGGAGCGGCGGGAGCCCAAACGCTCACAGAACAAAATGGCCCCGACGCGCAGCCCAGAGGGGCCGGGAAGCAGCTCCGAGGGAGCCCCCGCCTCGCCCTCCTCCCCCC